AGGTAAACTGAAACAGGACAAGCTTCTAAAATGGCTCAAATTCTTTTTTTTTAAAAGATTTTCTTTATTTATTTGACAGAGAGAGACACAGCAAGAGAAGGAAAACAAGCAGGGGGAGTGGGAGAGGGAGAAGCAGGCTTCCTGCTGAGCAGGGGGCTTGTTCCCAGAACCCTGGCATCATGACCTAAACTGAAGGCAGAAGCTTAATGACTGAGCCACCTAGGTGCCCCTCCAGGTCAAATTCTTTTTAGAGGACCAAGATCGAAAAATTAGAGAAGTCACTTCAAAGACCACAACTTAAAAACAGGCCTGGAATGTAAAAATAAAATGAGGTCAGGAATCATGAAAAAAATTGGTGCAAAGAAGATCATGAACAAATGGGAACCTTGTAGATTATTTGGAATGAGCATTGATGGAGGCCTTTGATTTATCTTTTTGGCAGTTGTTGGTATGTAGCTAATAATATGTCAAGCTGACTTAAAGGATTTCAGTAGAGCTAGTGCTATAAGAATTTAACTCAGAATGAATTCTTGAGGACTGGTAAGTCAGAAACTTCATAGTATAATGAAACTTTGACTCTTAAAGGAGAGAAAAGATGTGGGCAAACAGAAAATGGAAGAATGCAATCTGACTCTAACAATAATAATGAATCTACAATTATGAAGAAAGGGGTCAATAAGGACAGACTGAATAGCTATGGTATATTGCTGATCAATCTTTTTCTTTTTTTAAGTTTTGATATTAATTCCAGTTAGTTAACATACAGTGTTATATTAGTTCCAGGTGGACAATATAGTGATTCAGCAATTCCATAGAACACCCGGTGCTCACTCATCACAACAGGTGCCCTCCTTAATCCCCGTCACCTATTTAACACACCCTCCCACCCACTTCCCCTCTGGCAATCATCAGTTTGTTTTCTATAGTTAAGAATCTGTTTCTTGCTTTCTCTCTCTTTCTCTCTTTTTTCCCTTTGCTCATTTGTTTTGTTTTCTAAATTCCACATTTGAGTGAAATCATAGATACTTGTCTTTCTCTGGCTGATTTATTTTGCTTACCATTTTACTCTCTAGCTCCATCCATGTCATTGCAAATGGCAAGATTTCATTCTCTTCCATGGGTGAATAATATTGCATTGTATGTATATACCACTTCTTCTTTATCCATTCATCAATCCTGGGCTGCTTCCATATCTTGGCTATTTAAATAATGCTGTTATAAACATAAGGGTGCATGTATCCCTTTGAATTAGTGTTTTTGCATTCTTTGGGTAAATACCTAGTAGTGTGATTGTTGGATCATGGGGTAGTTCTATTTTTAACTTTTTGAGTAATCTCCATATTATTTTCCACAGTGGCTGCACCAGTTTGCGTTCTCACCAACGGCAAAAGGATTCCTTTTTCCCCATATCCTTACCAACACCTGTTGTTTCTTGTGTTTTTGATTTTAGACATTCTGAGAGATGTGAGGTGATATGGCATTGTAGTTTTGATTTGCATTTCCCTAATGGTAAGTGATGATGAGCAACTTTTCATACGTCTGTTGGCCATCTGTATGTCTTCTCTGCAGAAATGACTGTTCATGTATTCTGCCCATTTTTAATTTGATTATTTGGTTTTGGGGTGTTGAATTTTATACGTTTTTATATATTTTGGATACTAACTCTTTGTCAGATATGTCATTTGCAAATATCTCCAATATCTCCTCCTATACTGTAGGTTGCCTTAGTTTTGTGGATTGTTTCTTTCACTGTGCGGAAACTTTTTATTTGATGTAATCCCAATACTTGATTTTTGCTTTTGTTTCCCTTGCCTCAGAAAACAAGTTGCTATGGCTAATGTCAGAGAAGTTAATGCCCTGTGCTCTCTTCTAGGATTTTTATGGTTTCAGGTCTCACATTTAGGTCTTTAATCCATCTTGGGTTTATTTTTGCATATGGTGTAAGAAAATGGTACTGACCAATCTTGATAGGAAATACCAGACAAAAGAAATATAAATGCAATTATCATCTATTTTTCCCAGTTCTAGAGGAAAAGCTGTCCAATCCTCCTTTAGGCGGTAAGCTCCATTAAGACAAGGATCATTTTTATCATCTTGACCAATATAAATCCCCTACTTACCAAAAACCTAAGAGTTAGTACATGTTTAATAATTGTGTGTTGAAAGAAAGAAGAAAAGAAGAAGATGATAAGCTTTTTCGTGGTTTGGGCTAATGAATTTTTCACTCATGAGCCATCAAATCTTAATTTAGGTTGTCACAGAGTTAATACTGAATATGTTGAAGAAAAACAAATGTAGAAATGGTTCATAGTGGAAGGATTTTTGTGATATCAATTGGGAAAGCATTTGTCTTGCAGGATTTGGAGTTGGGTGTGCTTGTAATATAAATCTTTTCCTTTAACATCAGAGCCAGCATTCTTAATAGAATGATTGGAACATTAAAACAATTATCCATTATCAGATACTTCATTCTACTCCACCCACATACCAGTAAAATGCCTTTGTATTACTAATCTGGGTATTACTAAAGATTACTGAAGATCACCACAACATTCTCAAAACCTTTTGAAATTTTCTTTTGCCTGGCAGAAGATCCTAAACACATCCAACAACACTATTTTTAAGTAAGAGACCAAAGAAAATACAGACTAAACTATATTAATTAATAAACTATATAAGCTTTATCAATCAAACTATATATTAAGTTAAAAAATTTTTAATGGATGGAAAAATGATATAATGAATCACCAACAGTCTTAAATTCAACTGGATTTCTTAAAACCAAACAGAACTCAAGTGTTCTGTTCATTGTTTCGCAAAGTATGTATAGATGTTTGTAATCGGAATCCAAAATAAAGTAGGGTAAATACTGAACCATTTCAACAGTTGAAGAATCATTCTGAAGTAAACACTGCCACTTGTACAGAATGGTCTGTTTCCCAGGGCAGGAACTTGTTTGAGGCTGTGTGTTTTGGGTGGCAAAAAGGTGGTTACCTAGCAACAACCCCTCCTCCCAAGTCTCTGCCGCTAGAATGGTATTGTTCACGTCAGCGAATTGATTACTTGTTTGCTGACTCGAAAGAGAACAATGTAATAATGTGGTAGGGTATAAATCTCAAACATAAGAAATTTACAGGTTTTTCCTCTGTGTTGGATCATCTTCCCACTCCTCATCTGGTGCTGGTAGAAGCTTGTCTAAAGAGATTGGATAATAAATAATACGCTATTCATCAAATGAAAATGAGGGAAACCTCTGACATTTTAATTAATAACATTTATTTCAGTTTGCTTTTAAAGCAAGCAATGAAACAGTTACTATATTCACAGTAGCATTAGCTCTGGGCAAGAGGTAATTTTATCACAATGTGTCCTTAGAAATGAGACAGCCCAGGGTGGGATGGGGTTCTGTAGAAACAGAGTTTAAACATTCTAGACAGGTTTTAGATGACAGCATTTTGCCACCTTAAGGTAAAATTAATGAGATACTAATTTATATAAAACATACAAATAAGGTACTTACATTTACAACAAATGAGTTTGACCATATGTTAGCAATAACTTAGCCAGGAAACACACATTCTGGTAAACCTCATACCATATATTTTGTTTACCTCTGGTATATGCATAACAAATAAATGCCACTTTCATCTAATGAATGTCTATTCCTAGGGACAATCCCACTAGGTTCATGCATAACTGAGGAAGCAAGTAATCTGAATGAAGTGAAAAGATAAGGACACAAAACACAGGTTCTGCCAATGGAAAAAATTTAAATACAGTAAATTAGTTTGTGTGTTTTCATAGCATGACAATATAAGGTTTTTAAAAATCTGTTAGAAAAATGTTAAAATGCCAAGTATGTGGGAGCAAGTAGAAAGGGAAAGAAAAGGACTTTGGTTTATAAAATTTTCCATGATGCAAAAGACTGAAGCTAATTTTTCCCCAGACACGGTGGCTCAGAGCGACTGCCTGCCAATGTGCAGGAACCTGTCACTTGTACAGTAGCTTTCTGAGAGCCACCCAGTGCCCCCTCCTCCCCCATCCCAACACACACTGAATGTCATTTTCTCACTGAGCTCCAGAGCAAAGGAATTCTTTGCGGAGCAATAATTGACAGTTGGAGTTACAACCTGAGTTCTCTCCTTTGGAAAATTGCTAAACATTTGTTTTAAAAGACACAGTCTTCAGATTAAAATTAATCAGAATCTGACACCATATATTCTCCAGTTCCTCAACCCCAGAAATATCATCGGTTCAGGAAAAAAAAATATTTTCCTATGAAAATAACCAATAATTATCAATTTCATTCATTTTCAATTTTGGTCTGATTCTTGTAACTAGTTTGCACAATCCTATTAGAAGTCAGGGCTTTTAAACAGAAATGTCATTCCAGGAGCAGTCTCATTATATGCAAAAGTCATAACTGAGAGTGAGTCTGAATACAGAAGGGATTATTCCCATCTGTTCCTAAGTACTTTAACTGGTCAAATGTCAGATATTAAAGGGAAGAGAGCTGATAGACAGATGGAGCAACAGCATAAGCAAAATGTTTAGACTATTTATTAGAAAATAAGTGATTATAGTGGGAAAATTGTCTTATTTCAAATGGATCAATGTGCAGTGGATTCTTTTCTAACATAGGTATAACATATCCAAGAAAAATTTAGAGAGCGAGAAACATATTCCTTCATGTTACAATGTTCGTTTGATGCAGAAATTTCTCTCTTCTCACTCTTACCCTAAATCGTCTCTGTAAATTGCATTATTCTGATAACTCACAGACAGGCTTTTACTGAGCTTGATGATCAGAAGATTTTATATTAGAAACTGACAGGAATGAGTTTGGGGGCTCATCTCCATGTGCCTCTGAGCCCCCACAGACTAGCAAAGCTAATCTCCAGTAGTCCAACAGTTAAAATAATTGATGAGTATGTGTTGAATCCTCAGGAGAGAAGGGAGGAAGAAAAAAGGAGAGGAGAGGCTTGGAGGGCGGAGGGGAGGAGGGCAGGTGCTGATTTCAACCCTGTAGCGTCAGGATTGCGTCAATTCGGGCTTCAGCCACGTCTAGAGTCTCAGAGACGAGCTTCTCAGAAGAGCCAAAACAGGAACAGGGGTGGCAAATCACTGTGCGAAGGCGAGTGGACCTCCCTCTTTGCCTCCTCCCGTTCCAGGCGCAGGTCCCCTGAGCTCTGCGCTGTTGTTTTCAGCACTCGGGAAAGCCGGCGCTTCAGATCCAGGCAAGTGAATCAAGCCAGGGAGTTTTCCGTTCAGCACCTCGGACAGAACACGCAGCAAAAAATGGCTCCGATCACTACCAGCCGGGAAGAATTTGGTAAGCAAGTTACTCAACTTAAAACAGCGGTTGTTTTTTGAATACTCCAGGGTGGGCTGTGATGTTGTGGTTGTTGTTCTTGTTGTTCTTCCAGAGGTTGTTGAATATGGATTTCCTAGGTAGTTAATCTGAAAAGAAAATGAGAACTGTAAAGAGGCAGTCGTGGCTTATCTCTCTGTTGTTTCTCCCTTCCTTGCTATCTTTCTCCTTAAAATTGCCTTCTGCTAGGGAGATTTTACATCCAAGAAGTTTCTAAACGTTCAGGTAGCTCTGTAAATTGCAGCACGCGCTAAGTAAAGGAAGAGGAGTCTGCTGTTTGTTGTTGGTTTCATTAATTCTGTAGGTAATTTTTATTTGTAGGTAAATCTGTTTTTAACTTACCAGGAGAAACCAATGTTTCTGTGATTACATAAGGGTTTGATCTCGGTATAAAATAACTTGTGTGTTGGGGGTTTGGGATGTATATTTTATTACAGAGTGTACCATAAGGTGGTTTTTCTCTGCTATGTTTTTCTTGTATCCTTGAAATATGTTGCTAGTGGAAGACACAGAATCCTATGACGCTAGGATTAAAGCGATATTTGAAATGAACTGGCTTGGTCCATTGCATTTCGCAGGTGAGGTAACCAAAGCCCAGAGATGTGAGGGAAGTGTTGCAGGTCAAACAGTTAACTAAAAGATACTGGAAAGTAGAATTAAGAATCCTGTTTTCCAGTTCAATTTCCCTTTTCCTATACCAGATTTTTGGCACTATTGATCTCCTTCTCTCAGTAAATAAAATCAGATGTACTTCAAATTAAAAAGTAGTATTTTTAGGTCCCATTATATTCCAAAGACAAGAGATGGAGTTTTACTTACTTTACAAGTATTCAAAAAAAAATCAGGGAATTTTATGGAAGTTTGTGAATAAGGAATGATATCTATGAGTACATGATAATTGTTACTAAACTGAGTGAAATGACTGAGGTCTTTACTCTCAAAAGCTTAAGACCTTATCAGTAGAGAATACACAGGGAGTACGTGCGTCTTTCCGTGATATATTGAATATTTTGCCTTGTGACATAAGTATTGGATAGAGACAATCTGTGACATTATATTCAGAAATGAGTTTCCTTTACAGCCTTCCATTTGGGTGATTGAGTTTATATTGTTGTGATGTTTATTCCCGATTTCTGATTTGAAAATAAGAAATTTTCTAATACTGAGGCATTTTCAGAGATGGTGCTAGGGAAAAATATGTCCTAGCTTGGGCTATCCATCTACTTAGGAAAAAAAAAAAAGGATCATTTTTCTATTGTTTTTATTGTTCTCCTAGCACTGGCTAAGAATTGGCTTAGTTCATGATTTTGGTTTTGCTTCCTGGCCTTGGATTATTAGAGAGTCCAAGAGTGGATTTTTTTCCCCCCACAAAGACTTGAATAGGAGGAAAAACTGAAAAGCTGATACTAAGTTTAGCTGATTATCTTTAGCTCTCGCCTCATTCTTTCTCTGTAGCATTTGCTGCTTTTTCTACCTGGGGAATTCGAAGGTTTATTTTTCATCTTTACATGATCAATTTCTTGATCTAATTAAACTATGGAATTTTTTATTGTTACTTTTTAATTTTCTTATATATGTCTGCTCTTGTTTGTCGTTACTGATTCTTATATTGAGTTCAGTTTTGAAATTATGAAGTAGATAGGCAGAAGATTTGGGGGGAGGGGAAGGGGAGTAACAAAAGATTGTTCTTTCAGGGGTTATTCAAACTAGCCTTAACCCTTTCCTGACTGGGACTTCTAACTTTACTCTTCACTATTTGGGATAAAAATAGATAAGAATGAAACTAAATGCAGATAATATTACATTAGTTATATTCACTATGATTATATTGAACATTGACTCAACTGATGCACTGTGTCCAGATATAGCAATACTGCTTTTACTTACACAGTGTTACTGATCATTTGTTGGAGGGCTATGCTTACATATGGGACATGATAAGCTTCATGCATAATCGATGTTACCTAATGTCAGTAATTTAATGTGCCCTCATTCAAGGAAAGAATGCCAAATTCAATTTTATTATCATTTGCCATGTGGAAAAATGCTACAAAAAATCAGTTATGGATAAAATTGAACTCTAAATTATCTAAACTCACTTTTCTCAATACATGTTAAGGAATGATGATTCATTTGTAGCCATTGTTTTATTTTTATCCCACTTTGGTATAATTAATTTGTACTTTGGATAATTCAGTGTTTGAGAAATTTTGGGTCTGTATACAAGGAGTTTGCAGTGGTATAAGTTACATAATATCAATACCCTGTTGTTCATCTTTTTTTCTTTTTTCCCTAATATATGTAACATTTCTCTTACCAGTGTTCCATAATTGGGATGGAAATTATTGACAAGTTTGTGATAATAGCAGATAATGTTCCTTCATTTCTTAAAATTCCTGGAACCACTAGCCCCTAGATGTTTCCTGCTTGAATCCAGGATAAATAATGAACTATTAAGAATACAAAATTTCTCAGTATTTGAAGAATGTGCATTTAGAGTTTCATAGTCAGTAAAAATTGATGCTTCTGGAAAGCCTCAAAATGTCAAGAAGGCATAATGAAATTAGTACTGACCTATCATGCTATAGTTGACTCATGTTATCTGAGAAAACAAAGGTAGGTCAGGGTCATTTAGCATCCCTCATCCCTGACCTAAGCCCAGTTTCATCTTTTTATTTTATTTATGAAAAAACTACTGAAATGAAGAAGTTTCTATCATAGTGTATTTTTTTTCTGTATGTCACACAGTGTATGTGTTTATTCCTGAAGGTGATATGAAATGTGTACATAACTCATACCCAGAACAGTCAGAAAGTAATCCAATCTGTGCAACCTACAGCAATTGCCAGCTCCAGCATGCTTTTCAAATAGGCTCATATCTCCAACTCCGCTCCTTTAATATGTATTATTGGTCATTTGATTTTTCAGATGAAATCCCCACAGTGGTGGGGATCTTCAGTGCATTTGGCCTGGTCTTCACAGTCTCTCTGTTTGCATGGATCTGCTGTCAGAGAAAATCATCCAAGTCTACCAAGACTCCTCCATATAAGTTTGTGCACGTCCTAAAAGGAGTTGATATTTATCCTGAAAATCTAAGTAGCAAGAAGAAGTTTGGATCAGATGACAAAAATGAAGTAAAGAATAAACCAGCTGTGCCAAAGAATTCATTACATCTTGACCTTGAGAAGAGAGATCTCAATGGCAATTTTCCCAAAACAAACCTCAAAGCGAGTAGCCCTTCTGATCTGGAGAATGTGACCCCAAAGCTCTTTTCAGAAGGGGAGAAAGAGGCTCTTTCCCCTGATAGCTTAAAGTCCAGCACTTCCCTTACTTCAGAAGAGAAGCAGGAGAAGCTGGGAACCCTCTTCTTCTCCTTAGAGTACAACTTTGAGAAGAAAGCATTTGTGGTGAATATCAAGGAAGCCCGTGGCTTGCCGGCCATGGATGAGCAGTCGATGACCTCTGACCCATACATCAAAATGACAATCCTGCCAGAGAAGAAGCATAAAGTGAAAACCAGAGTTCTTAGAAAGACCTTGGACCCAGCTTTTGATGAGACCTTTACATTCTATGGGATCCTCTACACCCAGATCCAAGAGTTGGCCTTGCACTTCACAATTTTGAGTTTTGACAGGTTTTCAAGAGATGATATCATTGGAGAAGTCCTTATTCCTCTTGCAGGAATTGAGTTATCTGATGGAAAAATGTTGATGAACAGAGAGATTATCAAGAGAAATGTTAGGGTAATTCATTTTTAGTGCTTAAAGTATTTATAAACAATCTTTTATGTAGCTTTTTCTTATCTAGGGGATTTTCATTAAACTGATAAGTTTTATACATATCATCTTTACTATGTTTAATTATTATTAATCATAATCAAATGGGGAGCAAGGGACTAGAGTAGATGAAAGAAAATTTAATCTACAACTGAAATGCTTAAAGTATTTTAATTATATAAAATAAATAGGCATCCTTTATGGATATTTAAATAACACTTATATAAATATTTCTGTTAATTTCTATCATAAGTATTTTGACTAGGACTGCCACTTAACCTAAAATTCAGGCAAATATTTCTTATTCATAAACAAGTTAACAAAGATGTCTCAAGGTCAGCATAATTGAATTTAAAATTGATATTTAAAATTAAGTCAGTTTATACTGAGGATTTGGAAGTTGTATTGACTTTTCATGGAATTGCTTTTCAAGGAGGAGACATTACATCATATTGAGTTATAAATGTTCATTACTATGTTGTATGACAAGAAGTGAGTTACTCTGCCTTTGTAGTTATACTGCTTTGGTAGTTCTGAGACTATTGGACAATGATAAGATACCAAATTTAATCCTATTTCCCCTTTAAATATAGAACCCAATTGATTTAAACTGTAGTACTTCAGAATAATTTGTTTCTATAAGGCATGATTTTATAGAATACCATAAAGTTCACCTTTGTTTCTTTGTTGAAATTAATGAAAAGTCAAGGTTCAGAAAAATCAGTAGCTTGTTTGAGACATTGAGCTGTTTAGCGGCACAGTAGGAATAAAGATCTATTCCCTACTCTTATTCTTCTTGGACTGCTTATTCATATAATGACCCCATGTCCGTTTTTGTACATAGATTGAAGTTTTAGGAGCTCTGGCCAGCCATCATTCTTAGTTATAATCTAGCCCTGAGTTTACATTTTATTAGTATCGGGTAAAACTTGTAATTTGAGTTATTGGTCTTCTTACCTAATGTCTTTAAAGTACAAATAAAATCTAAGTAGCATACAAAGAAGGATGTTGTGATGCTTTCCAAAAACAGAGTATTAAAAATTGGATCAGTTCCTTCCAATATTTAATTCATTTCTTGGATTTGAATGAGGACTTCGAGTCGGGACTGGGGACAGAGAATTTTAACGCCCTCTGGGGCAGGAGATGGTAGCAGTCAGAATAAATTTCTGTTGGTCTGAATTTGAATTCCAATAATATCAGTACTTTTTTAAAAAATTGAAATCAAGTCAAACTTAACATGAATCATTTTGCCCTACACAGATCCATTCAAATGATTAGACAATTTTTATTACTATTAATAACTTCAAAAAGTAGTTATTTAATTAAAAATCAAAAGTAAAGACCACCACCACCTCTGTATAGGCTGTCCTCTACCCTTTTATAGATTTCAGTAATGGGTGTGGCTCACTCATTACATATTTTAACATCCTGTAGTACCTAAAACCACCACAAGATGGCAGCCAGTTGTTTTTAGAAGATGATAATACTGTACAAGATTGTAGTTACTCTTGAATTCCTTAGCATATTAAAATAAAAATAAGTAGGAAAATTACACTTAAATAACAATGTTATATTGCTTTAAAATGTTTCTATAAGTACACATTTCAAAACAAAAAATAATAAAAGTACTTACACCACATCTCTCTTTGTTTAGAAGTCTTCAGGACGGGGTGAGTTACTGATCTCTCTCTGCTATCAGTCCACTACAAATACTCTCACTGTGGTTGTTTTAAAAGCTCGACACCTGCCTAAATCTGATGTGTCTGGACTTTCAGGTAAGAATGCTTCTGAAAGATTCAGTCTCAGGTATAAGTGAGTAATACATTGGCAAAATAGTTAGCAAGGAACATGATTTTAATTTACCTTTTACTCACAAGCACAAGTGATGTGATTGTTTTTCTGTTTTGCATTTAATGAAATAACAATGTGAGCCAATGCCATTAGCAAGAAAAAGAAACCTACATACTCCTAAGATCTGAGCCATTGCTAATCCATGGTAGATGTCTGACTGTGTGGGTTTGAAGCAGAAAGCAGTGATAAATGCAGAGGTGAGAGGTCATTGCCAAAAATATAGCAATGGTTTGGGAGAAGAGTTCTTAATTTTAGTATTTTTGTGAGCCTGCCTACACTTACACTTCTATTGTTTTTTATTATTTTTCCTTTAATTCCTTATGTATCTGCTTTAAGCACTAGCTTTTAGTTTTGTGACTAATTAAAAAAAGTTTCTTGTTGTATCACACAGTGAAAAGAATACATGACCTATGGGTTAAAATGATGAGTTCAAATTCTAACCCTTCCATTTTAGCATATAATCTTGGCTATGTTTCATAATCTCTATACAAACTAGATGTACTAATACCTTGAGGGGCATTGTGAAGACTGGAAGGATATACTTCATTAAATAACATCTAGTTCTATTATTATTACTACTGTTGTTCATTAATGGTAATTGAACATATGATCTTGAAGGTTTAGATTAGGAAGCTAAAATGAACTCACATGCTTCAACCAGAAAAAGCCAAAAGTAATATAATTAAATGTATGATAAGGTATTATGATCCTACAATTCACACATTAAGGATGACACAGGGAAGATCAACACTGGAAAACAGGAAGCAAACCCAGCTGGTGATTAAAGCACAAAAGGACATTGCCATTGTGAATTCTAAATGCCTGTACAACAGAAAAGCAGAGGGTAGAAAGACTCACCCAAAGTCATACAACTCAGTTAGGTTAGGTCTTGTCCAATATTTTTTTCTTCCATCTTATTTTCTGGACTGAGTTATACGTAATCAGAATGAACCATTAGAACTTTTTTTTATATATTATCTCTTCTTCTTGCCATTATACTTCATTTCCCATCCTGTGGTTTAAAACTGTTTTCTCTTCACATTGCACATTCCTCCTTATTTTCAATTTGTTGATAATAGAGAGGCCAAGCTTGATCCATATTTTCACTTTGTTCTGACTCATTTTCATTGCAATCTCACTTTATTGGCAGGCAGTAATCTCTAAGGGCACCATTATGTTGAGACCAACTCTCCAGCCAGGTTCTGCCAGTATAACGTCTGTCATTTACCATTGCAGATCCCTATGTGAAAGTGAACCTGTACCATGCCAAAAAGAGAATCTCGAAAAAGAAGACTCATGTGAAGAAATGCACCCCCAATGCAGTGTTCAATGAACTGTTTGTCTTTGATATTCCTTGTGAGGGTCTTGAAGAGATAAGTGTTGAATTTCTGGTTTTGGATTCTGAAAGGGGGTCCAGAAATGAGGTGATAGGGCGGTTGGTCCTGGGAGCAGCAGCAGAAGGAACCGGTGGAGAGCACTGGAAAGAGATCTGTGACTATCCCAGGAGACAAATTGCCAAGTGGCATATGCTCTGTGATGGGTAGCGTCCTAGCCATGATGAGTTGGAACAATGATTTTTACTAGGCAAGGAACAATTTTCTTTCTCTTTTTTTCCTGATAACGTGATTGCAAGCTTGTGACAACGAGCTGCCCTTTTGTTGTTGTTAGAAATGGATTGAATTAGCAGACCAGAAAGTAACTGTAAATGTGTATCATGATATTTTCCCCCAATATTCGAGAAGTTGGATAAATTTTCATGAGGTATTCAGTCTCTTCTGCAGGTTACCAGAGTAGCCAAGCATTTTATGAATCCTGCGGTGCAATCCCAAGCTATGGATGTGGTTTAGAAGGTGATGATCTCATGGGAACATGTCACTGGAAAACAATGTGATTTTTTTGGATTTAGAAATGAAAAGCATGCTTTCTCTTATGAAAATTCATCCATTTTTCTTCAGACGGGGAAATCAATTTTTCTTTAAATCCAAAGATATTAAAGAAACGTTCTCTAGTTTGTTTTTATTCATTATGTCATGTGCAAATGGTTGTCTTGCATATAAAAGTATATGGTCGTTTCTCTTTAGTTTTAATTATTTGATGCAATTTTATTATACAAGGAGTAACTTGGTTTTGTTTCAAAAGGACAGTGAACAAGCTGAGAAACCATTTTATTAAAGGGCTGAGTTGAGAACACTGTGGCTGAAATATTATTTTCTCCCTCCTAAGGTTATATGTGAGTCAAATTGTTGGAAAATATGATCTCACATAAGAACCACGGCCTTGAATTATTCACTGCCCTTCACAAACATCAGTGTGGTCTAAGAAAGCCCTGTTTACCTTTGTGAAATTGTGGAATTAGTTAGTGGGTAAAGAAATAAACTTCAGCTAGAAATCCAGTTAGAAATGCAGTTTTCTGAAAGGAAATATGTATAGTACACAAGTGTGCATTCAAGGCCATCCCTCGTCCACAGAAAGGGCATGACTAAGTCTGCACGTAGCTTGTCCTCCCCCAGAAAGGACTAAGCTACTATTTGGAAAGAAACAGACTGGACTGAAGTTTTAACCACTGCCAGATAGAAAGCATCACTTAAACCAACAAACTAAGGAATGCCTGAAAAATAGCTATACAGCAAAGCCTAATATAATTTACACGTTTTCACACAAAATCTCTTTAGGCTGTCAAATTAGCACAACAAAGTATGTTTCACTATCTTTCCTAGGCTAATTTGTCTTGAGCTGTTGTCTGTGGAGCAGTTTATAGACTAGTGTCTCACATGGTTTGCCAGTACCAGGTCTCTGAAATTCAATGAAAACCTGCTTGAGCAAAGCAGCGCCCTGGGATTCCTTGAAAGGATGAACTTGAGGTCACATCACCATATTTGAGTTTTTAGAGTGTATCAGTGAAACCGGATACAGTCGAATTATTAAATATGCAAGTTAGAAATAAAGTCTACTGAAAAATTTACATTTTGAGTCAGGTTTTGTGTCAGTACCTTAGCCGTTTTTGAGAATGTGTTTGATATCACAGTGTTTGTAAATTCTATGACAAATGCATTTTCAAAACAACATACATGCTCTTTATGACTCTGCCTAATGTAAAGAAAATGTTTTACATTCTATATGTACAAAGATTGAAGTCAGCCTCTTTTTTGTGCTTTAAGATGACTTTGGGATTAAAAAAGAATATTCCCTAATCATTGTCTTTATCCACCAGAATGTCACCTCATGGCATTTCTATGAAAGCAACACAAAATGAGTCGTAGTCAGTGTGTGGTTTGGGGAAGTTAGATAGAGGGCCCTTTTATTGTATGTATATTTGGTATCATGGGCCATGGAATAGAATATATTTTGGAGCTCTGCAAAGTTGTGAGGAGTCGATTTGAAGTATCCTTCACAGCAGCCGGAAGGTAACGGTGGTACCGAGTAAAGTATGGTTGTTGGAGGGTGATTTCTTTTTTAAGTGGAACAGCAAAACCAACAACGAATACTTTTAAAGTTACAATGAATAATTTGTAAATAGTTTTTAGTTTTTAAATTTTAAAGTGTTTCTGAGTGTGAAAAGTTGAGTAAAACTCTTTGTAATTGCTTTTAAGAAAAGAAAGAAGGAAAACTAGAATCGAAAACAGGCAGGGACATCTGCGATCCCATCATCTTCCGAAAATTATACTGTTTTATAACGTATTATAATATCAATGTGAATATCTTGAATTCTGTTGCAAATCCTGCACTGTATGAAACATGTAAATTAACTGTTCGTCCGATTAGCCAATCCAGCCACCCTCATGGGGGGGGTCTCTATGTTTGAAGAACCGTGTAACTCAGTAACTGACTTGTTCTGATGTCGTAACTCAATAGAAGTGACTTGGAAGGAAGCATGGCGTATGAGATGGTGTCTGTTCTTTCGTGCCAGCTCTGTATGATGTTTGTAAGACCATGTTTGTAAGACATGAATAAACTGCTGCTTTTGCCCAACCCATTTCAACTCAAACTTTTTGCCAATAGACTCTGTACTAAGAATTCTCTTCTTTCTTTCTAAGCTTTAAGTTTCCTGAATGGATCTCATGGCATAGAATAGGGATCATTAGTGATACAGCACCAAGGTCTTCCATATATCTTATTTTGTTTAATCCTCATAACAATCATCTGAGACAATTATTATTATCCCTATGATACAGAAGCAAAAACCAAGACTTGAGGAGCTTAGGCAATTGACTCAAATTCTTGGCTGACCATGCTCTTCCTTCCATAGCATACCACTCTCCTGAAGAAGTCCTCATCAACTGGATCTGCTAGACCCTTAAAGGGGATAATTCCCAAATTCTTTGACTTTCCCGTTCTTCTTTTTTTAAAAGATTTTATTTATTTATTTGACAGACAGAGAGAGAGAGAACATGAGCGGGGGCAGGGGTAGGGGCAGAGGGAGAGGGACACACAGACTCACTGCTGAGCGGGGCTTGATTCCAGGACCCTGAGACCATGACCTGAGCCGAAGTCAGATGCTTAACGACTGAGCCCCCCACATACCCCAAGACTTTTCCTTTCTATAGTATACTCACTTTTCCATATTTTATTTACTTTTTCACTATTTTCTAGCACCATTCTTAATCTATTTTTTTCTCTTTGGTCATCTTATTTCTCATCTTAGTCTCTTTCATTACCTATTTTCTATTACTAGCTTTTCTTTTCTTTTTCATTTTTCCCATGTCCTTGCACCAGATAGACCTGGTTAGAAAAATGGTGTGGAAATGGAAGTCTTATTTCTTCTTAGAAAGGGGGAGAAAAAACTCTCAGGACATCTGCAGTGTTCCCATCAAACATGAGCTAAGGTGAATGGGAACTATGGGGCCCACAACGGGCGGATCAGCCAGTTTATAACCTCAATCTATATGGAGGTGTTCCATGTTAACACACTTGGAAAAACAGTCCTATAAATGGCATGCAGCCAGAATCTGTTGCCATTATATTTTTGCTGCAAATCATATTAACTGTAAGGAGGGTGCACAGGTATGTCGAAAGAGTTGGCCATTATATTTAAGTGTTCAAATATATTTTAGTTGCCAAAAGCAACCAGAGACACTGAGGAGATTTTCCAAGGGCATTAGTCATCAGGGAAATGCTAAGTAAGACCACAGTGAGATACGCCTGCATATCGATGACAGTGGTTGAAATTTAGAGTTTGAACATGTCAAGTGTTGGTGAATATTTAGAAGAACAAGGTCTCTCCCACACTCCTGGTGGGGATGTAAAATGCAGATGGAGAGAGAGAGACAACTGGTTTGGGGAACAAGCGGTCAGTTTTTGTTTTTTTTTTTTTTAATATTTATTTATTTATTTATTTATTTATTTATTTGAGAGAAAGAGAATGAGAGACAGAGAGCACGAGAGGGAAGAGGGTCAGAGGGAGAAGCAGACTCCCTGCTGAGCAGGGAGCCCGATGTGGGACTCGATCCCAGGACCCCAGGATCATGACCCGAGCCGAAGGCAGTTGCTTAACCAACTGAGCCACCCAGGTGCCCCAAGCGGTCAGTTTTTAACAAATTAAACATACACCTACCATATGACCCAGTCATTCCACTTCTAGGTATTTACAAAGAGAAATTAAAGCATATGTTTACATAAACACTTGTACATGAATTTCCATAGCAGCTTTATATGTCATAGCCAAAAACTGTACTCAACCTAAATGTTTATCAACAGGTGAAAGGGTAAATGAATTGTGGTCTGTCTACACAGTGGAATACTACTGAACAATGAAATTAAATGAACTATTGAAAGATGCAACAACATATATGAGTCTTAACTCAGGAAGCCAGATAATCTCCCCTACCCCCCAATGTAGAATATATAATGTAGATTTCATTTATAGAAAATATTTGAAAATGCAAACTAATCTGTAGTGCTAAAAAAGCAGATCAGTGTTTACTTGGAATTGAAGGGGTTGTACGGAGAGGTGTGACTGAGAGAGATTAAAAAGGAAGAGGAGGAAACTTTTGGGATGATGGGTATGTTCATTTTCGTGATGGTGATTATGGTTTCATGGTTATATACACGTATCCAAATTTATCAAATCCTACACTTTAAATATGTGCAGTTTATTATATATAAATTATACCTAAATAAAACTGTTAAGACAAAAAAGCATAAGATAGAAGCCACTTATAACAACTTTTTAACAAAAAGGGTTAATACTAACATTACTACCAGCAATATGATTTCTGAATTTTAGTAATATTTAACACACTTTGGGGGCAATTCATTTTTCTTAACATATATCTCCCTAGGGATGTATAGTTAGGTGACTGCTTTGTAAGGTCTTTTGGGATGGTTCCTATGTAAGTATGCCACCGACTCATTCATTAAAACAAATTGTTTGTTTGCTTTTATTTCTGCTTTTAAGAAATTGATTTCTAAATTCAATTTTGTTTTATAGTTCTATGAAATATATACATATTTTTATTTATTTATTTTTATTATGTTCATTTAGCCAGCATAGAGCACATCATAAGTTTGTGATGTGTTCAATTCATTAGTTGCATATAACACCCAGTACTCATCACAACACGTGCCCTCCATATTTAATATTTACAGTTTTCTAAAGATCCATTTACAAAACAAAGTACATTAACAGAAACCCACCTTCTTTTTCCACAGTCAACCATTTCTCCTTTCCCATACATAATGACT